AAACTTCATCATTATTAATTTTAAAAATACTTATCAATTTTTTCTACTTTTTTTGCAGTCGATCTCTTTGTCTTTTACACGCACGCCCAGGCCTTTGGCGGGTACTACCCGCTGACGGCGAAGAAGCTCTGGAAGAATGTCTACGATCGAATGGGCTGCGACCATGGCAGCACCAGCGCGGCCACCATCACCCGACGTCACTATGAGCGACTGCTGCTGCCCTTTGAGCGCCATCTGAATGGACTTTCAGATCGAGGAGTTTCTGCATCTTCCTCATCTTCCTCCTCATCTTTTTCATCATCATCCTCTTCTAATCTAAAAGTGAAGGAAGGAGAGGATGAAGTGGAGGCTAATAGCGGCAATAGCTCCTCAAAGTCTTCAGAGGCGGGAGATTCGGTGTTTCAGTTTAAAGAAGACGAGGAGGAAGGAGAAGTGGATGCTAAAGAAAAAGAAATGGTCAAAAAGGAACAGACAGAAAATGCTAATGCTGTTGATGACAATGAGGACACGGATGCTGAGGAGGAAAATGTTGCAGCAGATGTTCTGCCCTCAAACCAAACTGTGTCCTCTGCAGAGGTTGACAATAAGAAAGAATCACCTAAACTTGATACAACAAAAGATGACAGCAAGGTTAAAGTGGAAGAAACCAAAGTGGAGAAAGAGGAACCACCNCTAAAGTTTACGCCGACGTGCAAAAACAGCAGCAGCAGCAGCAGCTGTAAGGCTGGCAAAAAGAAAGGATTTTCGACAAAGAAAATTGCCAATAAGCGTCTTCAAAGCGGATGTAAAAATACTTCTTCTGCTCTCAGTCTGATCACCGCTAAAAAGGAGCAAAGTGATGAAAATCTTCCCAAATCAATGGACCTCACTGCTGATTCAAATGTTGTGCCACTGACACCTGTTGATCATTCAACAGCTCAGCTGCCTACAAAGATGCCCAACCAAAAGGTCACCGCTCTGGTGCACCCGACGCAGCGGCTGGAGAAGAAAAAGATTTCCTCTTCCTCGGATGTGTACGACTTTAGGGACGGTTCAGTGGACGG